TTCACTACTAATCCTTTTATCCCTCTCCCCCTTTTAAGTTAATTGATGGACAATTTTGTAATAAATTAGATAAATTAGATAAATTAGAAATAAACAATAAATAAATTATTATTGGCACCGGAAAAAAACAAATTTATATTAGAAGTATCTTTATTGTAATAATTTAAGTAATAATAATAAATTTTGAATAAATTCTATTTATATACTGGTTTAAGATTTGTTTATTTTTTATTTGAACGCTTGTTACATTGGATAAATTTAGTAAGAGTAATTAACTTTTAATCACTTTTTTTAATCACTTGGAAAAAAATAAAAACGTATAAAAATGGGGAATGTCTTCGCGTTCAAAAAATTCAATCTATTCACTAGAAAAAAAAAAATTTCCTTTTTTCGATATTAAATAATCCTCCAAATTAAATAAAATAATCAAAATGGTCAAAACAACCTTTTACGTTACATTAATTTCCTTTATAATCCAAATACAAAATATTTTGGCCGCTCCAGCCGCTCCTCCAGCCGTTGATATAACTGTTATAAATAATTGTGTTACTCCAAGTACAGTCGCATTAACATTTGATGACGGTCCATACATTTATACCACCGAATTGCTTGCTACATTGAAAACTGAGGGTGTCAATGCTACATTTTTCATGAACGGTAATAATTACGGTTGCATTTACGATCAGGCTAATGTAGGTACGTGTATAAATTTTTTTTTTAAGTCCCAAAGTCCTAAATTTTTAAATCTCCAAAGCAAGAAAATTAATCGCTTTTTTTACAAATAATTAGATATCGTGAACGCTGTAAAAGCAGCAGGTCACCAAATCGGAAGCCACACATGGTCCCATCCAGACTTGGCTAAAATTCCAACTGCTCAAGTTACCAAGGAAATGACACGACTTGACGATGCGTTCAAAAAAATAGTTGGCTTACAACCAAAATATATGAGACCACCATTTGGTTCAGGTGCTGATAATGCCGACGTCAAGAAAGCCATTGCCGACGCTGGTTACACCAAAAATGGTTCTGTGGGATATTGATCCTTCAGACGCCGTTGTTGGTACCAAATATGATGACCAAGTCAAACAATACACTAATGCCGCACCACCACCTGCAAGCCACATTTCATTGAATCATGATATTATTGAATCAACAGTTAAAAAACTTGTTACTCAATCAATCAAAATCTTGAAAGACAAAGGTTTCACTTCTTTTGTCACAGTTGGTCAATGTTTGGGTGAAACTGAGGATCTTTGGTATAAATATGTTGGCGCTCCATCTGTACGTGATGCTACTTGGACTTGTGCTTAATTAAATATTCGACCGAGGAATTTGGGTTTTATTTTTAATTTGATAAAATAGATAAATAGAATTTAAAATCTTTGGTTTTTTTTTTTAAAAAATTATCTATTCAATACAATACACTATTTACATTTCATCATATGTATTAGATGCAATATAATATTATAATAATAATTAATTAATAT